AGACCTCCACAAAAGTTTGGGGGAAAAAATAATAAAACTAGACCACGTTCAAGGTGTCCTCTCAAGACACAGACTACCTTTAGACATTTGAAAAAATTTTGGAAAAAGAATTCAGACAAACCAAAAATAAAACTAGAAGAAAAGAAGTCAGACCAAATTCAAAGTATTCAAAGAAACAGGACCAAGCAATACTAAGAACAATCACTGCTCAGGGAGTATGACTTAAAATACTGTAGATGACAATTGGATTGGGTGACATCTAGTGTCCCTCTAACCCTGAAATTCCATATTTCTTCTAGTCTATGAGCATCTTCTTAGCATCTTAGCAATTCAAAGAAATCTGAATTTCATAAAATGCGAATGCAGCAATAAGAAAATATCTCTTGACTAGTAACAACCACATTAGCTTTTTCTTCTTTTTTTCCTCAAATTTGTTTTGGAAGAGAAAGAAAATCACAGATCTGAAGTCATCAACAAGCCCTGTTAAGCCCCACAGACTCTGTCCCACCTGATGTTACAAAATAGGAAAAAGTTAGAAATTAAGGGAGTCTCCTGGGAAACAGATTATGAATATTGGCTTTGCTTTATCACAGGGGGCTAGTACAATATTCCCCGAGCTAAAGATCTCACACACCATAATTGACTCTGAGAAAAATAAAAGAAGGAGTAAAACACAGGAGAGCCCAACTTTAGCAGTTACCTTCAGTAAGAGCCACAACTCTTTCCCCAGTTCATAAGGAAACTGGAAGAGAATATCCACAAATAAACAGGCAAACAATAATTCAGGTTTCAGTAGTTTGGTTCTTTGCTTTGATCCAGCCAGAACTGATTAATTGGGTCTTCTGCCATGAGCTCTTCACAATCACTCTGCTGACCCTGTGAGATATTAAAATCTCTCTAGGAACAGATTTGTGTCCTTTCTCTCAGATTGCAGAAGGATTTTCAGTGGATGCTGACACCTGCAGGTGATGGTAATTCTCTCTCCCACCCCAAATAGCACCTGCCACTGTCCTAATCCCATTTTCCAGAGTTAAATATGACCTACGAGACTGGATCAGTGATGTGGAGAGGTGCTGAAAAGAGAGGAAGATAGTCCCAAATACAGATGACCACAAAGTAAGTTGCAGATGCAGATAAATGTTGGGTCCAAATACTGTGTAAGGGGGTTTCTCCACTTTCAATCACTTCATCTTTCAATATCTTTCCTTGTTTAATTACTCAAGATTGTTCTCTTTCTAGGCCGGGCACGGTGGCTCACGCCTGTAATCCTAGCTCTCTGGGAGGCCGAGGCGGGCGGATTGTTTGAGCTCAGGAGTTCGAAACCAGCCTGAGCAAGAGCGAGACCCCGTCTCTACTAAAAATAGAAAGAAATTAATTGGACAACTAAAAATATATAGAAAAAATTAGCCGGGCATGGTGGCACATGCCTGTAGTCCCAGCTACTCGGGAGGCTGAGGCAGGAGGATCGCTTGAGCCCAGGAGTTTAAGGTTGCTGTGAACTAGGATGACACCACGGCACTCTAGCCCAGACAACACAGTGAGACTCTGTCTCAAAAAAAAAAAAAAGATTATTCTCTTTCTGCTCTCACAAAAATTTTCTTTACTGTTCTGCTAATCTCACTATCCAACTACCATTTATCTTCTTTATATTGAGGTAATCCTATCTCCCCAGGCCTTTAATTGGCTACATTTTTCTCCAAAGTTATTCTTCATCAGAGGTTCATTCACTGCCTGCCTTTAATTCCAACCAGAGAAGATAAGAGCATCTTGGGGTTCTGCGGTGGTGCCACCTTTGCTCCATTCTGTTTGATCTTTGCCAGGTCCCTTCTCCCTGTAAGACAAGTTCTCTACCCAAAATTTGGAAATTGGATGTAAGTAAAGCTGAAATCTGATTTCTCTGTTGGTGAATGTTTTAAACAGGCAATTTAAACTCATTGCTAATAACGGTTCCATATTTTAATTGAAATTGTTAGTCTCATGTTTCAGATTTAGTAACTCAAACTTTTCTCATTGTATATATGTATATATTCATTTCAGTGTGATTCGTCTGTAAATTATTTTCTGTTTTACATGTCTTATTGTGAAATTTAGAAAAGGGCAACAGATTATATAAGCTTTCTAAATATTTGAGACGATTTTGTAAATAGAAAAAGGAAGTGTGCTTTGAGTTGATTTTCAGAAAATAATGAACTTTTTGAAGTTTTCTTCATGGCCATTTGGGAGATGGGTGACAAGACTTAGGGATGTATTTTGGGACCAGAATTAAGTAAAATTCATTTGCTGAAATGGGAATAAGCCTATGATCTTTGCTTCATTAGAAAAGGTGTCTAATCCTCTTGGTAAATCAGTCACTAACCATTTTTAATGATCAAAATTATAGACTTACATTCAGTTTGTGGTCTACTAATGATTCCCGTATCTTTTTCAAACATATTTGTACTAGGTGACCTTTTATATTTGATGTCAGATCAGAATCCAAAAACACATTGCATCAATATCTTCATAGTCCAAATCTCTGTAAAATGAAGCCCCCGGGTATTGGTCCACCTTTTAAGAAATGCTCAATGTGATAGAATGTCAGACAGTGAAAGAAGTTGGGCAATTTCATGAATTCATGATAACAAAATTTGACTCTTCTTTGATTTTAGAACTTTAACTCCATTCATCTACGTTTTGAAATAGGGTAGCAATATCAGTTTAGAATCCTTGACAGAATGAACCATCATACTTTTTTTTTTGGACAGAGTCTCACTCTGTCACCCCAGGTAGAGTGCAGTGGCATCATGATAGCTCACTGCAACCTCAAACTCTTAGGCTCAAGCAATCTCCTGCCTCAGGCTCCCGGGTAGATGGGACTACAGGCATGAGCCACCGTGCTGGTCTCTGTGATTTTAATTTGCATGTCCCTGATGATTAGTGATGTTGAACATTTGTTGATTTATATGTCTGCTTTGGAGAAATATCTATTCAAGTCTTTTGCCCATTTTTTAACTGTGTTATTTGTTTTCTTGCTATTGTGTTGAGTTCCTCATATATTTTGGATATTAACCCCTTATCAGACATATCATTTGCAGATATTTTCTCCCAGTCTGTGGGCTGTTTCTTCACTCTATTAATTGCTTCCTTTCCCATACATAAACTTTTTAGTTTGATGCAATCCCATTTGTCTATTTTTGCTTTTTTTACCTGTGTTTTTGTGGTCTCATCCAAAAAGTCATCACCCAGACCAATGTGATGGAACTTTTCTCCTATGTTTTCTTCTAGTAGTTTTATAGTTTCAGGTCTTGTATTTAAGTCCTTAATCCATTCCGAGTTGAATTTTCCATATGCTATGAGATAAGAGTCCAGTTTCATCCTTTTGCATATGGATATCTAGTTTTCCCAACATCATTTATTGATGAAATGGTCCTTTCCTCATTGTAGAACCACAAAAGACACCAAATAGCCAAAGAAATCTTGCACAGAAACAACAAAGCTGCAGGCATCACACTACCTGATTTTAAAATGTATTACAAAACTATAGCAATCAAAACAGCATGGTACTGGCACAAAAACAGAGACATCGATCAATGGAACAGGATAGAGAGCCCAGAAATTAACTCACCCATTTAAAGTCAATTGATTTTCAATAAAGATGCCAAACCATGAGTTTAGATATCTGAAAATCATGAAACTAGAAGGAATTTTAAAAGTTCATTATTGGCCATGCATCGTGGTTCATGCCTATAATCCTAGTACTCTGAGAGGCTGAGGCAGAAGATTGCTTGAGCTCAGGAGTTCAAGACAAGCCTGAGCAAGAGCAAGACCCCATCTCTACCAAAAATAAAAAAAACTAGCAGGGAATGGTGGCAGGCACCTGTAGTCCTAGCTACTCAGGAAGTTGAGGCAGGAGGATTGCTTGAGCCCAAAAGTTTGAGGTTGATGTGAGCTACGCTGATGGCATGGCACTCTACCCGGGGCGACAGAGTGAGACTCTGCCTCAAAAAAAAAAAAGTTCATTATCTCATCTTTTTTCTTCAGATGAGGAAACACCAATCAAGCAGTTGGACTAATACGTAAAATAATTCTTCTGCACCGAGAGCCATTTGCTTTACTGTAGCCATCCTCTCATCCTGTTCCTCTCATCCTTTCTAATATCCTTGCTTTTTCTTTAATCTCTGACTTCTCACTACAGCCATCCCTCTTTTCTTCCTCCTCTCCTCTCTTCCTTTACTGTGTGCTAAGGCTAAATGATTACATATAAAGTGACTGAAATACAGAGCACCAAGTACCAACCACAGTGCGTGGTGGTGTTAGTCCTCACTTTACTTATACACTTACAGCCTCCTAGGCATTCTCTTCCTGTGATTTGTTAAGAATTTGTAAAGTAGATCTATACAGCATGAAGCACTGTCACACACAACTAGCCATTTAATCAAAATTCTATTTCATTCTCTGTACAGCAAAGGAGCTAAAAGAGCTCCCTCATTTTCTTTCTACGTAGCCCCACTCTGTATAAGTTTATGTCCTGGCAGACATGAGAATGAGCCAGTGGCCTCTGGAAGATTCTGAACTTGCAGAGCATCTAATGAACAAATACCCTTTCCCTTACATGTCATGTTTCCAGGAACCCCTGGCCTGTGCTAATACAACAGTCAATGATTATTTTCGAAAGATTATTGGAAAAATTGCTCTGGGTGCAAACCCCTAGGAGCAAACTTTTTCTCTAAAGGTTCAGAGAGTTTAGGTTTTTCAGGCCAAACGCAACTACTCATCTCTGCCATCATGGCATCAAAGCAGCGATAGACATTGTGTAAGTAAATGAGCATGGCTGTGTTCCAATAAAATTTTACTTACAAAACACCTGCCAGAGAACATAGTTTCTCCCTGTTTGTCATCTTTCCACATAAGAGAGAAACTTCTCTGCCACTTCCCCTAGTTTTTACAATCGTCTTCACTTTCCTCTCACCTCTATGCCAATTCCTGTTTTGTCTATTCTCTAGGTAAGATCTCTTTGGGAGATGCAAAGAGGTAACAGCACAGTGCTGACTGAGTTCATCCTCACAGGAATTCCCTACCCACTCAGGCTAAGGACATTCCTTTTTGTGTTCTTTTTGCTCATCTACATCCTCACTCAGCTGGGGAACCTGCTTATTCTAATCACCGTCTGGGCAGACCCGAAGCTCCATGCCCGCCCCATGTACATCTTTCTTGGTGTTCTCTCCATCATTGACATGGGCATCTCCTCCATCATTGTCCCTCGCCTCGCGATGACCTTCACTTCAGGCATCAAACCCATCCCCTTTGGTGGCTGTGCTGCTCAGCTCTATTTCTATCACTTTTTGGGCAGCACCCAGTGCTTCCTCTACACACTGATGGCCTACGACAGATACCTGGCAATATGTCGGCCCTTGCACTACCCTGTGCTCATGACTGTGAAGTTGAGTGCCTTGCTGGTGGCTGGAGCTTGGCTGGCAGGGTCCATGCATGGGGCTCTCCAGGCCATCCTGACCTTCCGCCTGTCCTACTGTGGGCCCAACAAGGTAGATTACTTCTTCTGTGACATCCCTGCGGTTTTGAAGCTGGCCTGTGCTGACACAACAGTCAACGAGCTGGTGACCTTTGTGGACATTGGGGTAGTGGTTGCCAGTTGCTTCTTGCTGATCCTCCTCTCCTACATACAGATCATTCAGACCATCCTGAGGATCCGTACAGCTGATGGGCGGCGCCGGGCCTTTTCAACCTGTGGAGCCCATGTAACCGTAGTCGCCGTGTACTATGTGCCCTGTGCCTTCATCTACCTAAGGCCTGAAACCAACAGCCCCCTGGATGGCGCAGCTGCCCTATTCCCGACAGCCATCACTCCTTTCCTCAACCCCCTTATCTACACTCTGCGGAACCAAGAGGTGAAGCTGGCCCTGAGGAGAATGGTAGGAGGCCCAGGGACTAAGAGTGAGGTTTAAAAGTGTCTGTCTTTCACTGGGGAAGCCTTCACAGGTAGAATTTATTATAATGTTTAGGTTTCAGTGGGATTTTTTTCCTCTTGCTTTTTCCCTTTTATATATCCTTGTGATGTCAATACAACAAGATCATCATGGAGTACTATTCAGCTTTAAGAAACAATGGTGATATAGCACCTCTTGTATACTCCTGGATAGAGCTGGAATGCATTCTACTAAGTGAGGTATCCCAAGAATGGAAAGACAAGCACCACATGTACTCACCATCAAATTGGTATTAACTGATCAACACATAAGTGCACATATAGGAATAACATCTATTGGATGTTGGGCAGGGGGGAGGGGGGAGGAGGGAGGAGGGGACGGATATATGCATACACAAAGAGTGCAATGCACACCACCCGAAGGATGAACATATTTGAAACTCGGACTTGGTGGGGGCGCGGCAAGGGCAACATACGTAACCTAAACATCTGTACCCCCATAATATGCTGAAATAAAAAAAAAAAAAGATCAAACAGTTTAAAGTAAAATACCACTTTCTCATAGTTTCTTAGTATCCCCTCCAGACAAACAGCTCTCAGCTGCTACAAGCCTCTAGGCTATGTTGGCCAAGCCCTCGTGAGATGGACTATTGTTCTCTTGATGGGGGAATGTTCTTCAGTTCTGTTCCAATTGGATATATACCTCGGGAGCTAGTGCTAGATGTAAAATTGTTGTGTGCATCTTAACAGGCCTGGTTCTGAAGACTTCCTGAGGCCAGCATGGGTTGTGAAGAGGAACTAAAGTGCTTACTCTATCTTGTCTGCTGAAGGAGTAAGCCTTCTCTTAAATTGATGCTTTTATAAACTAAACCGAATTAAACAATCCAGAAGAAAAGATGCAGTAAAGTCTTTTGAAATGTTTCAATGATGAAGTCCCCCACACCAAAAAGTAAAGCTCAATATGAAATTTTCCATTGAGAGATTATAAGGCAATTGAACAGAGCACCAGCAAGATTTATTCAAGTTAGCATTTCATAACAATTTAGATTTGTGAGGTTGACAAGCTTTCATTGAGTTGGCCAGGCCCTAACAAATGTGGACAAACTTGGTGCAATATCTCTGGTTTCAACCCCTTGGCATCTCCAATCTCATTCTGTTACAGTTCTCTCTCATTCTCCAGCTTTTTAAATTGGATGGTTTCTTTATGTATGTGGTGAAATTGTGTTATCTACAAAGCAAAGTCTCTCTGTCATGGCAGATAGTCAGGTTTGATCATGTGAATGTTCATCCCTAAGTGACTCACAAGTTCATCTAATTTATGGAGACAGAAAACTAACCATTCTCCCTTGGATGAAGCTGACCCACACGATTTCTCAGTATTTTGTTCAGGAAACAGACAATATACTCAGTATCAACATCCTCAAACTATACTATTACTTATGAAATATCTTAATCTTTGCAAATATTTAACATATAAAATGGTTGAATAATGAATTATAAAAATAAGCTTAAATCCATAGCTCATGAACCAAAAACATTTTCAAAGGCTATTATGCATATCATTCTTTTTCCAGTGCTTAGCATAATTGCTATTCTAGCTATTACCTTAACAATTAATAAAATAATGTTAAAATGATCCATAGATATATGATAAAATAAAAAAGATTAATATAGAATAATTCTGAAGCAAACATCTGTTTAAAAAGTGAATTGGGCGGGCACACAAGTATAAACCTGACCCCAATATAGGATTAACCCATTAATGCAATTTAGGTTTAAATCATAAAGAAATCAAATAAAAGCAATAAGCTGTAGATAAAGTTACTCCTTTTTTCTAGTACTCCCTTATTAAATTTGTATTAAGCATCATATTAATGTTTTTGTTTATTTTTTTCATATTAACGTTTTAAATAGAGTTTTGGATATCTTCCTTAAAATTACAAAGATTGCTTCATTAGGGTGATAAAACATCTTTTAAGTCTTTATGTAAAAATGTTGTTCAATGCATCTTGAGTTATTCAGTCAACAAACATCTACTGAGTGATTATCACGTGTTTGGTACTGGTCTTGGCACTGGGAGTTCAGTAGTAAGTACAAAGAACTGATTCCTGCTATTGTTCAGTGTACAATTTATGAGAAAAGACAGATAATTCATAAATAATAAACAAACAAGAAAAATACTAGGTAACAAGGCATGCTATGAAGAAAAGGAAATAGGAATGCACCAAGATGCTTTCAGCAGCAAGTAATAAAAAACACAATTCAAAAACTAATTTTTTTTAATGAGAGTCAATTAACTTATGTTCAGCTGCAAAAATAAGGCAATGATCAGGCAGGGTTCAATCAGGGCTCTTGCTTCACTTCTGCGGTTCTCTTGACTTTGCCCCCTCTGTGTTGGTTATAACCTCGATCTTGTAGTCAAATGACTCTAGCACTTTAAGACTCCAAATCTGCATAGGATGTCTTCCAGGGACTCTTTTTCAACAGCAGAGAAACATTCTTGTCACAGGATGAAAGATCAGCCATGATGAAATTACATGATCTTGGATTTTTTAAAAATAATCTCGTGATAAGATACCATGGCACATTCATCAGGATGGCTACAATCAAAAAAAAAAAAGGCAGAAAATAACAAGTTTTGGCAAGGATGTGGAGAAACTGAAACCCTTGTTCACTATTAGTGAGAATGTCCCCTGGTACAGCCACTATGGAAAACAGTATGATAATTCCTCAAAAGTTGAAAATAGAATTACAATATGATCTAGCAACTCCAATTCTAGGTATATACCCAAAAGAATTGAAAGCAAAGTCTCAAAGCAATGCTTGTACACCCATGTTCATGGCAGCATTAGTCAAAAGGTAGAAGCAACCCAAGTGTCCATAAACAGAGGAATGAATAAACAAAATGTGACATATATATACAGTGAAGTATTACTCAGCTTTAAAAAGGCAGGAAATTCTGCTACAACATGGATGAACCTTGAAGTTCGCATTATGCTAAGTGAAATAAGCCAGTCACAAAAAGACAAATACTGCATGATTCCATTTATATGAGGTACCCAGAGCAGTCAGTTTCATAGAAACAGAAAATAGAATGGTGATTACCAGGAACTGGAGGGAGGGAGGAATGGAGAGTTGTTGTTTAATGGGTATAGAGTTTCAGTTTTGCAAGATGAAAAGAGTTCTAAAGATCGGTTGCACAGCAATGTGAATGCACTTAACACTACTAAGCTATACACACCTAAAAATGGTTAAGCTGGTAAACTTTATGTTGTGTGCATTTTACCATAATTAAAAATGAAAATAAATCTAGTAAGGCAAAGGAGAGGAAGGGATATAGATGAAAAAGATGAGTCATATGTTCATTGAACCTGGGTGAATATAGAGGTTCATTCTACTAGTCTCTTTACTCATGTATATTCAAAAATTTTTATAATAAAAGACTTTTGAAAGCCATAACAAAGAAATCTCAGGAAAAAGTTTTCCAAATAGAGGGAAAGGCTAGTCAAGGCTCTTGGACAGAAAAAACTTGGCACGTTTGAAAGGAAAGCTGGTGTTGTTGAAGGGTCCTGTAGGGAGGAGAGGATACATGATCACGCTACAGGGGCAGGCAAGGGTAGATCATATAAAGCCTCAGAAACTGTGTAAGAAGTTTGGATTTACTCTAACATAATGGGCAATGTGTTAGTTTTCTATTGTTGCATGATAAATTGCCACAACCTTAGCATCTTAAAACAACATACATTTATTAGCTCACAGTTTTGTAGGTCAACAGTCCAAGCACAGCATGACTTAGTTCACTGCCCAGGGCCTCACAAGGCTAAAATCAAGACGTTCCTAAGCTGCATTCTTATCTGGAGTTCAGGGTCCTCTTCCAAGCTTACATGGTCATGGCAGGATTTAGTTCCTTGCAATTACGAGACTTGATCTCTATTCCCCTGCTGGCTGTCAGCTGAGAGCCACTCTCAGCTCCTAAAGGTCATCCACATTCTTTGCCACATGCCCTTCCCCCCATCTTCAAAGTCAGTGTGACATAAAAGAAATACATATTTGGTGTCTGCCCCTGGTTCCTGACACAGAGCTCCTAAATCCCTTGGAATTTCCTGGGTGATAGGAGTGTCTTCTGTTCTGATGAGAAGGCTCTTGGTGGACTCCCGGATAGCTTCAAGGCAAGGACTGGTCACTAGAAAGACCAAGCCATGATTAGAAGCTTAGGACTTTCAGCCCCAACACTCACCCCGCATCCTTGGGGAGGGAAAACGGTCTGGATATTGGTAATCAATCATACCTATATATTGAAGCCTCCACAAAAATCGCTAAAAAACCAGTTTCAGAGAGTTTCCAGATTGGCAAACATATCCGCGCGCTGAGAGAATAGCATGCCCCAACCCCATGGAGACAGAGCTCCTGCGCTGGGAACAATTCCAGACTTTGCCCTGTATATTTCTTCATCTGGCTACTTCCCTGCATCCTTTGTAATATCCTTTCTAATAAACGAGCAAACATAAGTGAATGTTTCCCTGAGTTCTGTGAGCTATTACAGCACCTTCTCAAACCTGAGCAGGAGGTTGTGGGAGCCCCCACTTTAGAGCCAGTTGGTCAGAAGTGCAGGTGACAACTTGGGACTTGCAACTGCCATCTGAAATGGAAATTGCATTGTGGGGCTGAGCACTTAACCTGTGGGTTCTGGTGCTAACCCCTGGGAGACAGTGTAAGAACTGAACTGAATTGTGGGACATCTATTTGGTGTCTGCAGAGAACTGGAGAATTTCTAGGTGTGGAAAGACTTACACATTTGATATCAGATGTGGTGTGAGAGTATGGAAGGAAAATAATTTGTTTTGTTTTTGTTTTTTCTTTAGCCAACAACAGAGAATCTCCCTTGCCCGGAGATCCTCTCATGCTTCCGATCTCTCACTCCAGGAAGAAGCCAATCCTTTCTAAGGGTTTCCCTGACTAGGTTAGGGCTACAGACGCTCATCTTTCTATTTTAAGATTCACTCATATGGAACCTTAATT